CCTCCATGGACACATGGCAAGGACAGAGCAGGCAGATCATCCCCCATGGTGCCTCTACTCCCAGGGGCCTGACCTGGCCCTGCGTCAGAAGGGAGTACTCCTTCCTGTGGACGGGACTTGGATATTGCTCAGGGTGCTGGCTCTTCACAGGGGCTGAGGTGGCCCTGTCCACACCAGGACCTGGAGCTAGAGCTCTGCCCAAAGTCACCATCTCCACCCTGTGCTCCTCTCACCTGGGTCCCTTCTCTCTGGGCCCAGGCAGCAGCCCCAGAGCACTGCCATGCATCTAGAGGTGGTGAGAATGCAGATCCAGGAAAGGCAGTGCCCTGGGCAGCTCTCGGGGACAGCAGCCTGGATGCCAGTGCCTGCTGCTGGGAGGGATGTTCCTGTAGCTGCCAAGACCCAGCCAAGATGGACTGTGCTGTATGCATGGCCACTGGGCTCTGCTCTGCCTGGCTGTGCCCTGGTGACAACCTCCTGGCTGTGTGCATGCAGTCCTCCTGCTTGGTCATTTGGAACTGGTACTGGAGTAGAGGGCAGCTCTGAGACGCCACGGCTGAGCTCAAGATCACAGGTGAGTGACATGCTGAGGAGGGTGTCTGAGGTCATGTTGGCCAGCCCAGCCCACTGTACCCCACTGTCCCCTCTGCCCCACAGCTGACAGTAAGGGTGGGGATTTTCCAATGCCTCAGAGCTGGGCAGGGGTCCTCTGGAAACTTAGAGGGTCAGGTCACCAAGGACTCAGGGTTTTCCCCTTGCTGTTGGACAAGCCTCAGCAGTCAGCCCAGCTTTTTCTACTGCCCTCCGGATGTAGGCCTGACCCCTCTGCTATAGTCCAGGGGCTCATGGGGACAGCTAGCATGGGGTGCTGTCCATAGCTGCTAAGAGCCCCTCTTGGAGTTCATGCTCATGCTGGCTGTCACCCCCTGTTCCTGTCACCCCCTGAAAACTGAGCCCTGCTCAGATGGCCAACAGGGCCACACCCACCATGGATGTCAGGACCCACTTCCAGCCATTCATACTGTTTCCCAGGAGGCACCTCCAGGGGTGGTGTGGAGAAGGAGCAGCTACCCTGGGAGCTATGGGGCTCAAGTTACAGAAAAGGGAAACTCGTTTGGTGCACAGGCTCCTTCTGGTAGCAGGGCTCCCCAGTGTGTGTGTGGGGAGAAGTTCTTAGAGATCTAGACTTTTGGGACTTGCCCATGATCCTCACCCAGGACCTCTGTCTTCATAGCATGGATCTGCAGAGCATTTCTCCGCACACACTCACCCAGGGGAAGTCCAGCTGGAGTGGCTGCAGGAGCTCAGCGGGAGCCAATGGGAGCCAGCAGGAGCCAGCAGGCTGGCTGCCCTCCTCAAGGAGAGGGAACACGATGCTCTGCTCACGGCCTGGACCTGACCCACACTCAGGCCGGATTTCCTCGCTTTCTCCCCTAGCAGGGCACAGGTGTCAAGTTAATGATGGTCACCCTGGGAAGATGAAGTCTTAAGGAAAGTGCTAAAATCCAGACTTCTGCTTTGCAGGGTGTGGGGAGCTTGATGTGGACACCTTCCATGGGTTCTCCAAGGACACACTCAATGTAGGGAACAGCAGAATGTGGCTGGAGCTATGACTCCAAGAAAGCATTTTCTCCCAGGTGTTCCTCAGAGATGACATGGGCAGAGACCTAGGAGGAGAAGCTTTACCAGGGGCTCCAAGACTCTCACCAAAAGCTGCCAGGGCCTCCTCCTTGCTTCGTTTTTGTGCAGGATGGGAGATGCAACGGTTAGGAATCAGCAAAGTGAGGCCAAAGTGGGTCTGGGGTCAAGAGAATGCAACCTGGGCATAGACAGAGCTGCTTGTTAGAATTTTGGACTGTTATAATCAGAACGGATCCACAGGACACTGAGCTGTGGGAATGCTGGTCTGAGGGCCAACAGGAGTCTAAGTGAAAGATCAGCTCAAAGAGGAGACATTCATAACCTGTATGATTTCAACACAATGCTGGGCACAGCCCCTGAGCCCAGGGCCAGGGTCCTGATTCAACTGCATCGAGCATGACCTACCCAGGCCACCACTCACTCTAGCTCTGGTTTTCTCATCCCCAAAAGGAGATTGCTGAGTTGTGTGATCTTTCTGATTCTTCCAATTCTTGTTCTAAAATTCTGTGATTCTAACTTCCCATTGTTGCCTTTTATCTCCTTCTAAGTGAGTGGATCTGAGATAAGTTATTCTTAAACATTTACAGTTTGACCTCCCATGACTGATCTACTTAAGGAAGTGTGTGTGTAAATTTGTATCACGTGGTTAGGACAAAGGTTCTTTTGTGTGTGTGCATGACCATGCAGAAAGTCAGATTAGCTGGGGTACACAGACTGCCATTGACCCCACCATCATTTCATAGGGCTAGGACCACAGACATTTTAAAATTGAATTAAACAATTTGCTCTTCTTTATGGTGCTTCAAATATTGTTTAAGGGGACATAACAGAGCTTTTAAAGAGAAAAATTCGGAAATACTTTGAAATTTTTGGAGACTATAATTTTAGAATTCATTCTTACAATTAAAGTAAAAGAATTTTATAGTTGCAAAAGAAGAAAGACCAAGTTTTGCATAGTTGAAAATTCCAGACACATTGCCAGTGTCCTCACCACTACCTGCTGTGTGCCCGGTCCACACTGGTTCAGGGAGGAGCAGGTGTGGGGTCCTGCTACTCTGTGACAGCTCCCAGGTGACTCTGGGCTGTGACCTGGGCTCTTGGTGTTGGGACTCTGACAGAAGCTTGGCATGTAATCTGCTGGTTCAGCTTGGCACTGCATACATACCACGCTGCTGGGTGATTTGTTGTGTGGTCCAGCAGCTTAGAACGGGGAAAGAATACTCCAGGCCAAGCTTTGTTCTGGGTAGAAGAGATTATTATCTGTATGCTTTAGTGGTACAGGGAATCCCCCTTCGCACACAACATACCTTCCTGATGTTCCTTTAAAATGATGCACTGGTCTTTGCATAATTTTTGTAAATGACAGCAGACACTTTCTTAACACGGATTTCAATAAAAGGACAAGGAAATGACAGGATTATATGTGTAGCTGACCAACTTGGCAATGCTGACAATTGTGCTAGGGGTCTTTTTTTTTTCCTTTTAAAGAAATATGAATAAAGATGTTTCTGCAGAGATGAGAGATTCAAGTTTTTCTTAAAATGTATGAGGTACTGGATATTTTATTTTAGTTATTTTTCCTTGGGGTAATGTGAAACCCCTTTTCTCTCTCTAAGAAACCTGTCTGAAATATAAACTCTTCCTCTGCTTCTGGCCTGTGTTGGTCACAGCCCAGCTCTGGTCACTTGCTCCACAGCCTACAGTGACCTTCTGTAGTCATGGGACCATCTTGGGTCGCTGGATGCCATGCTCCGTGTGACCTTTGGGTGCCTGCCATCCAGTCTTTCTCATGACCAAGCTGCAGTTGGATATGACCCTAAGGTCACCCTAGGGCAGGGTGTAGGGAGGTGGAGGCTCATAGGAGAGATTAGGTCTCTGGAAATTAGCCTCAGGATCAATACCCTCCTCAGGGCAGCCAGTACATGGGTACTTTGGGGTGGTGCTGATAAAGGATTCATTAGCAAATGAGTGGGACTGGGAGGCTGGCAGCTGAGCCTAGGGAGAGGAAATTCTACAAAAGGACAGTAGTCTACATGGTCTGTGAAGGACCCTAGCTAGCGAGACAGACTCCATATTGCTGCTTGACCCACCTGCCTGCCCTTTAGATGAACTCAGGAGGAGGAAGCTTAGAACCCCCCCCCCCAGAGAGTCTCTTAGAAACAACAATTAATCAACTATTGTTTTACAAATGTTCTAACAGCAGGACGTTCCGCTTCTGTATCTTTTGCTTGCTTTACTAGTTCTATCCCATAGCGGGGCCTAGAAAGTGTTGGCCTCCAAGGTGTATAAAACATGTTTGTCAACCCCCAGTCAAGGCTTGAGTCCAATGTTCGGCTTGGGTCCCGGCCAGTAATAAACTCCTATGTGGATTTAATATCGGTCTCTGGTTGGTTCTCTCTCACTGGGTGTAACAGTCTGAGCTGTGGCCTCGTCCTTCCCTGAGAGGGGCTCATGGAGCTTCTCCAGACCTTCCACCTCTAGAGCTTACGCCATCACCCCTGGGGGCTCAGGCTCAAGCTGAGTTCAGGTGACCCTGCCTGCCCAATTAGGCCTCATTTGGGTACATTAGCATGGTATCTTTAGCCACTCCAATTGATTACTCTAGACTAAGACTCTGTAAGTGTCCAAGCTCCCCTCTCACACGAAGGTGGAAACACAGTTGATTGGAAAGAAGCCGTGTTAGTTATTACCCTGACCACTTCCCAAGTTCTATGAAAATAAAAGACAAGCCAATCCCGGACTCGCTGTTGTGTCTCTGGGCTTCTGTCTCTGAGTGCCCCTCTCTTGGGTGGCCATCTTTGAGGTGCCTGTCTCTAGATGTTTTTCTCTGGGCTGCCATCTCTGGGTGCTGCTGTCCTTTCCTCTCCTGGGTGGACTTTTATTACTGGTGTGTCCTACCTCTCCTTTGATTCTGCTGCCTGGACCCCTCCCAATGTCCCATCCTGACTGTAAGGGTCAGGCTGGTTTCCTGTGCTGTGCTACCCCTCCATGAACATGTCTGCTCATGGAGGATCCAGAGCTGAGATGCAAGCTCAGCACAGATGGGCCCAGGCCTGAAACTGGGGACCATTTCTGATGGGATAAGTTTGGGCCCCTGCCCCTTCCTTTGTGGGTTCAGGGCCTGGAAAGCCCTGGTCAGGTGTGAGGCTTGGACCTGGGATCTCCCAGCTCCTGAAACTGTGCTCTGTGACTGTTCAGGGCTTCTGCCTGCCTCTCGAAGTTGCCTGAGGGTGAAACTGTATCAGCCCCACATCGCATCAAAATGCTGTCCCTGCACTCAGGCTCGAGAGTGGAAATTACTCATTTCTCTCTCTTCATGAGTTTTGCCTCAGAGAGGCCAGACAATTGTAGACAAGCAGTGGAATTGATCTTCATTTATTTTGCCTAAGTCAGGCAGGCACACCATCCTGGGACAGGGTCTACAGGGTTGACTCAGTTGGGAACGTCTCCCCAGGGCTGGTCACACTGAGAGGAAGCATTGTCACAGCAGCAGCTCAACCTAAGGGTGGATGGCACAGGACAGAGGAAGGAGTCCATGAAGCCTGGGGCAGACCCGCCCTGCCCCGGAAGACCTCAGATCTCTGTGCGGAAGGTCAGGGTACTCTCTGCCATCTTCTTCTGGTAGTCCTTGTCAAATTCTTCACTTTGCGCCACAGTAAAGTGGTTCTTCCAGTCCCCAGGCATCCCTGAAACAAGACAAGACTCAGTGGTTGCTTCAGGAGCACGAGGAGGAGTGGGTGCACAACCTAAGGACCCCCAGGGGTGGGAGGACAGAGCAGAAGGAGCAGGGGAGGATGGAAGGAAACAGGAAGGTGCCTCTACAAAGTTGTGCAGTAAGCTGGGGATTTAGCTCAGTGGTTCCAGTGCCTGTCTTGCAAGCACAAGGACCCAAGTTTGATCCCTGGTACCAGAAAACAAACAATCAAACAAACAAAGTTGTGCAGTGGTGCTGCCAACAAGAACAAGCGGAGGAGCACAAGGATCAGGGAGAATCTCAGCAGCCACCAGTGCTCCAAGGCTGCACTTGGTGCTTAGGATGCCAACCCCCTTACCTTTCCTCATGAAAGGGGAGATGGAGTGGTCCATGATGCTGGTGGGGAGGGTGGTGTAGTTGGCCATTGGGTTGTGTTTCATTACGTCGAAGGAGGTGTGATAGATGATCTTATTCAGAACTTCCTCTGTGATGTCTTTCTCCAGGAACTTCAGTATCTTCTGGATTTCCCTCTTTGGATCCTTCATGTGGAACAGATACATAAAACAAGTAATTTTTGGTTTGCCATCAGGGAGGATGTTCTGTTTGGGGAGGGACATGCTAAGGAATAATTCAGAGATCATCAGAAAATGTTTCTCAAGAGGTCCTAGTGCAAGGCTTAGGGCTTCCCCAGACACAGTAGCAGGAAAGATCAGGACTGCTCCTGCCACCTGCCACCTACTTTGCTGGAAGGGAACCAGTGGGTCCCAGCAGAGACAGCCCAGGCTTTCTGCTGCCAGAGAGCTGGGCAGATCTGGGGAGGGGTTGTCTGGGAGACTAGGGAAGGAGGGACAGTGTTGGTCAGTGTGATGAACTAGTATCTGGGCTGTCAGGAGGGGCAAAAGTGTCTGTGAGCTTAACAGGAGACCAATAAGAGGATGACCAGAAATAGTTCTCTTTGCTTCTTTCTGATAAAAGAGACAAAAAGACAAGGAGTGATAGCTTCTGTTTATGGTTCAGAGGACTTCTTAGTGTTGGCATAGGAGGTACCTTTGTAATCTGGGATGCTGCTCTGTGGGATCTTGGGAGTGAATCTGTGATGCCACTCACCCACGGCCTCCCCTACAGCCAGGGGAGGGATCTGTCCCATGTCCCAGTGTGTGGGGCTGATGTGTGTGCAGGATGAAGTTCTGCTAGGGAAAGGAGTTCCAGGTGTGGCTGGGGGAGATAGACCCTACATTTCTTAAACACAACTTTACAAATATGATTGCACAACTCTGTGCAATCTCGAGAGAGATGTGATGCTGTTTTGTAGGTAAAGAGACAAGGCTCATACATGTCAGGATCTGACAGGTTGACCAGATGATGCAGGCTTTTTCCTGAGGAAAAAGGATCTCTGGAAAGTGTAGAAAAGCCAAGGAAGTGGTGAGAATTCCTGGGATAAAGCTGAGCTGGAAAGCGCCCAGGAGGGAGGGTGCACCTTGAAGTTTCTGCTGAGGAAGGGCCCATGCTCTAGGGACCTTGCTGGGATCCTTATATCCTTGGTTGGGGGAGGTTGCAGGGGGCTGCACAGCCTCACCTCCTTCATGTCCTCGTAGAAGAGGTAGAGGATGCGGTGTTGGTCCTTCTTGGCCCACCAGCCCTTCACATGGTCATACCAGGAGCCCCACAGCACTGAAGGGAGAGAGAGAGATGGGGATCAGGGCCAGATCAAAACTTGTCCCATGAGCATGGCTGGCTCAAATCAAGAGAACAGTTAGTAAAGACAAAGATTAGAGAAGAATTCTTGCTTGAGAAGACAGGTTTGTTTTGTTGTTATAGTTGTTTTTTGTTTTTTAAGTATTTCAGAAGTTGATACAAAGATTCTGGATTCCTCAGTTTGTATCCCGTCCTGAACCCACTTCTCCACAAGGGACTGTCTCATGCCCAGGGACTGGGAATCCTCATCTTCCTCCCACACCACACAGTGCACAGATCAATGTCATGCAGTAGATGTTGTTTCCTAGCAGGGTGATTTGGAAGAGACTCTCACTTTGGAAACCTGCAGTGGCCAGGTCTGGGGTGGCTATGGGAGGGACAGATGCTCCTGGCATGGACCCCACCTCCATCCTTGCCCACCCTGCCCATGGCTGCCAGCTGTCTGCAGACTGTCACTGCCCTTGCATGTGGCTGAACTTTGTGGCAGGAGGAGTGGAGGGATGGGGTGCCAACTCCTGAATTTTTCCCTTGGGCTTACTGTGGTCAACATGACTCCCACCAGAGGTCTTGCCTCTGGTTGAGGTCAAGGGGCCCTTTCCTGTCTCTGGGGTCTGGGGCTTCCCCCAAAGCTCTACCAACCCCCATTGTTTTCCCTAAACCCTGCCCACAGAGTGGTCCCTGGTGACCTGGAATGTGTCATCCACAGAACCATGGGACCTCAGTAGACCCAGTCATTCAATGGATACCTTCTCTCCTGATATAGGAGATGATGAGAAATAGGAGCCCAGTTTTCTTCCACTTGCCTTTTCCAGCTTTGAAGGCCTCAATGTACTCCTCCCACGTGCCGGGGTCGGGCACCATCTTGTTCATCCTGGAGAAATGGTAGTAGGATACCAGGCAGTCTTTGGCGTTTCTCGCCACATAGATGATCTGGAGTTGGCCAGCAAAGACAGAAAACAAGACAGAGACATCATTGGTCAGGGCAGAGGTGCCTGGTTTCAGGAAGCCTTCTGTGGTATATAGACTGGATATATGGGTGCTTTTGGCCCCAAAGGCCATGTCTTCCAGTTACCTAGAAACAATTCTGATTTATAGCTGTGATCTTAGCATTATCACTATTTTCTGTCTCGAAAGTGACCCGGTTTGCATATTAAATGTGGCTCTTACCCCTGACCACTATGCCTGTCCAACAAAACACCATGTACTGGGGTCTTAGAGATCTGCTTCATGCAGTTAATTCCAGAGGCTGGGGAGTACAAGACCAAGGTGTTGGCAGGTTTGACGTGTGGCAAGGGCTGCTTTCTCATAGATGACCATGTTCATGTTCCCGGATCCCATTCAGGAGGGCCCTACTGTGTGCACTGTCACCTCCCAAAGCCCCTGCCTCCTGTGCCATTAGTACTAATCTGGGGACACCGCATTCAGAACACTAGATATGGTGGTTTTCAGCCTGTGAAACAAAGGTCACCAAATTCTGCCAAGTGGGGGGTCTGTCAGCAAGGAGCTATGGGCTGGGAGGAGCCCAGGCAGCAGTGAGTCTGCCTGTGTTGTTCCAGGAGCCAACTTCAGCCTTCTGGGGGGGGGCCACTGCTCCTACTCTGCATTGGCAGATGAGATCAAGGGCCGGGGTAGTGCTGAATCCTTGTGGGGATGTTGGTGGTGGGGTCTTCTCCCAGAGAGGCCTAGGGTGGGCTGGCAAAGGATAATGGACCTCGACCTCACGCCTGCTGCCCCTCCTCCTCGGGATTTCAGCTATTCCAGGTTTGTATTCTCTACCCGGCTGTGGTCAAATGTTATGCTGTCCCTGGGCCCCTGAGTAATGCGTGGTCCCCAGGGCTGGCTGTTGGGAGCCCTGTGGAGCTGCAGGAGGCAAGGCCTAGAAGGAAGTCTCTGGATTTCCTGGAAGGGGCCCTCAGAGGGGACCATGTGACCTGGCTCTTCCTCACCCCTCTCTGCCGCAAAAGGCCCAGTGAAGGCCCCATCTTGGACTTGACCTTAGAACCCTGAGCCAACATGAACCTCCCTTACTTCATAATGCACCTGAGTCAGGGCTTTTGCTGAAGTAGCACAACTCTGACATAGGTTTCTCTAGCATCTCACATGTCAACCTGTCACCTAGGGTGTTTCCTCTTGGTGACTAGCCCCAGCTCCCACCTCTCCAGCTACACCCCCACTGCCCCTCACTCAGCCCTGTGTAACTCTGTTTCTCTGCCCTTCTCCTTGAGGCTGGATTTCTATCCCATGTTCATGAAAGCACTTAGGAGCCCAAAAAGTATGGGGCAACAGCAGAGTTTTCTTACTGCATAAGTGCATTTTGTGTTATGTTTCCTAATTCTTATGTTGATTATTGCTTTCAAGGCCTCAGTCACTGGAAACTGGGGAAATCTTGGGACAGACCAGGAACATACTCAAATGTATTGTGGTGTGAGGTCCACCATCAGGTACAATTTCCTAAAGTCTGTTTATCTGTATTAGTTTCCAATTGGTGCTGTAACAAATTACCATGAATACTGTGGCTTAACACCACATAGATTCTTTTACATTACTGGAGGCCAGGCTTCATTGGCTGGGTTCTTGTGGTGGCTGTAGGAGGCACTCATTTCCATGTCGCTTTTGGCCTCTGAAGTCACCGGCAGTCCTCAGCTCTTGATCCTTTCCTAGACTCATATGGGCTCCTTGCCTCAGTGGTGACATTTCCTACTTCCTCCTGTGCCTCATTCCTCCTAATAAAGACCCTTGTGGTGGGGTGATGCCCCAGGAAACTCAGGATAATCACCCACCTTAAGGTCCTCAACTCAGTCATACCTGTAAGGGCCAGGCTTGGGAGTGACATCCCAAGATTGGCCGATCAGGATGTGGACACCTTTTGGCTCCACAGTTCAGCCCACCATGCCATCAAAACATGGAAAACAGGCTCAGCAGTCTCACACCACTTCCTACTCACAGAACCCACAAACCTGGGTGGAGATAGGGAGGTGCTGCCTTGAGATGTTACATTCTTTAGAAGACCTGATTTTACAAGAAGGTATCAGGATGATGACCCAGCAAGGGTCCCTGTGTCTTCTGACACCAAGATTTGGAAATAACATTGTTTCCTGTGCAGTGGGAATAGTGTGAGTGAAGAGAACAGACTGAGAAGGTTCCCCAGTCAGGGTGACATGAGTGTCACCTAGGGAGATATGCCAGGATTGAGCAGTGGGAAGAGTGGGGAGGTTTGCAGTTGCAGTCTATGTGGAGAGAAGAGGTGAGCAAGGTAAAGAGTCACAGACACTCAGTGAATAGTCAGACCCATAGCTCCCCCTCTGTACAGAGCCCTGCACCGAGGAGGGGGTTCCTGGCTAAAGGACTTGAGTGTTGAGGTTCCAGTCTGGAAGGTGGGGAGAGCCTGCAGTTGTCACAGCTGCCAGACACTTTTTAACCTCAACCTACTCTCCCAAGGCCTCCCGATAACTGGGCTTCCCAAGCAGCTTGCCCCGAGGAGAAGGAAGATGAGCCAGTCCTGCTGACAGCATGGCTGTACTTCTTATGGCTTCTTTTTCTTTTTCTTTTTAGTACTGGAGATTTAACCCAGGGCCTTCATCCTGAGCTACATCCACAGTCCTTTAAAAAATTTTATATTTTGAGACAGAGTCTCACTAAATTGCTAAGTTGCCTGGGAGGAAGTAGAGGTACAACAGGACTGGGAGCTTGCCTCCTGGGCACATGGTCTATAAATGTGGACCAAGTTTCCACCTACTGGGAAAATCTAATCTCTCACCCTGGAAGGAAGAGGGCCAGGCTTTGGACCCCTGATACATGTGGGCTTTTGGGGGCAGCAGATGGTGGCCCTGAGCAGGGCCTTGGGGTCTCTATCTGTGGGGAGGGTCACTGACAGTGGCCTCAGGGCCATCCTCTGAGCCCACTGCCCTGCTCCTTGTGAGGTCACATTTCCAAAGGGTCTCTTGAGTGAGTGGGCAGGCAGTGGTTCTCTGACAATGGCTTGTGGGGGACTTGCAGCAGCTTAGGGGAGCCTTGCTCAGGGTGGCATGCAGCCCATGTCTCCTGAGCTCCTTCCTACCCTGGTCTCCAGCCCCCTTTGCCTTGTCCCACCTCTCCTCGCTCATCCCCCAAAGGGTCTCCACTTTCATAGCCATGTCCTCCTGGCCCTGCTTCTTAGGGGACCCATAGTAAGACACCAACCTTGCTCAGGAAACACCCCCTTATCAGTTAGCTTTCCCATTGCTGGGACAAATTACTCAATACCCACAACTTATAAGAGGAGAGGTTTATTTGGCTCACAGATTCAGTGGGTTCTATCCATGGTTGGTTGGCTTCAAGGCAGGGACATCTTGGTGAAGATCATAGTGTATTGGAACAGAGCTGCTCACTTCCTGGCAGCCAGAGAGCAGAGCAAGAGAAGAACACAGGGGAGGGGCAGGGACGACACAGACCCCAAGGTCACAGATACAGGACCCACCAGACATACCCAGAAGTGTGCTTTTCTAGTCCCTGGTGGCTCCCCATCCAGTCAGATTAATCTCTGCCATCACATCTGCTTTGTTTCACCCAGCACTCACTTTGAAGGTGGCATTGTTGGCAGACAATCAGAATAACTTGCCCCACACTTCCCAATGTGTACTCAGTCTCATATTCTGAAGGGAAGGTGGGCCCTGGTGGGTGTGTGTGTCCTGGGGTCCACTGCTTGTTTCCCTTCTGCATCCTTGCCCAATGCTACTTAGGCAAGGACACTCCCTGGCTGTGCTGGTGGACTCAGGGCTTGGAGGACCAGCTCTCCTTACCTTGCAGTTTTCCTTCCAGAAGGAGGGTGGCAGCAGCTGGGCAGGCAGGTGCGTCTTCAGCGTCCTGGGGGATGGCATCTCATTCGCCAGATCCAGACCTGGGCAGAAGGCTGGGTGGTCAGCATGCGCTCCTCATCAGAAACGCAGATGCCAACAGCAGAGACCTCTGTCACAGCAACACATGTGAGGGACTCAAGTAATTTAAGAGTTTTCACTCTATGCAGCCTACTCAAGGCCCTTCAAATGGAAATGATAAGAAAATGGGCACTGTGATGCTTGCTGTCAGATAAAGGAAGAGTTAAACCCAAAAGCATCATATGAGGCAAAGAGCGAACTTTATAATAACGCTTTTATCAATGAAATGTAAGAATCACGAGTGTTCCTATGCCAAATATCCAGTAACCACTTATAGGAACAGAAATTACAGCAGATGCAAAACTAATAACAGGATAATGTTTCTAGAATTTATATGAAAATATAAAGGCTTTAGACTAGCTAAGCCATTACTGAAAAGACAAACTCAGAAGGACTTTACAATTTAATTCTAAAACTTACTGTAAAACAAAAGCAATTATCTCAGAACTCAGGAGGGTGAGGCAGGAGGACTGCCATGAGTTTGAGGCCAGCCTGAACTACATAGCAAGACCCTGTCTCAAAAAACCAAAACCAACCAAACAAACAAGCAATTAAAACAACCATTCCATGCATGGCATGAAGATAGATGTATAACAAAAAGAATATAATAGAAAATCCAGAAATACACAATAGATATATCATTAATTGATTTTTGGCTAAAGTGCTAAGGCAATTCAATATGAAAAAAGATAACCTTTTCTTTTTTTTTTTTTGGTACCAGGATTGAACTTGGGACCTTGCACTTGTGAGGCAGGCAGTGGAACCACTGAGCTAAATCCGCAGGCCAAGAAAGGATAAGCTTTTAAATAAACATTGCTAGAATAATCAGCTCAATCAATAATAGGTTTTCAATACATATTAGGCACTATTTTATAAATGAAGAGTGCTCGCTTCGGCAGCACATATACTAAAATATAAATGAAGAAATTTTATTTTATTTTATAAATGAAGAAATATCAGGTTTTGAGAGGTTTAATTAGTTGATCGTGCACCCAGATAAGACCACCATTTCTGGGAACTGTTGGATTTTGAAGTCTTTGCCTTCTTACTGTAGGGTTATGTTCTCCAGGAGCTGTGACCAGTGACTATTTACTTTATTAATTTTACTTCTTTAATAATGACTCTTTGATAGACAGGTTATAGATAAAATATATTTGGAAAAACAAACTCTCCATGAGCTGCTAGCAGAATGCACAGGAATGTGGCTTTTTAAATTTTAAACATATTTATTTATTTTTATTTTTGGTACCAGGGATCAAACTTGGGTCCTTGCGCTTGCAAGGCAGGTGCTGGAACCACTGAGCTAAATCCCTGGCCTGAGAGAGATTTTTTTTTTTTGGTACCAGGGATCGAACTCAGGACCTTGTGCTTTTGAGGCAGGCGGCAGAAACACCTGGCCCTAAACATATTTATTTTTAATTGTGCACACTCAGCACAGTGTGGCGGTTCCGTACATGTGTACAATGTGTAATCATGGATCAAGGTACAGTAATTAGCATTTCTACATCTTTGAACATTAATAGCTCTGCAGTTCTGCGTTGGGAGTCTTTGAACTCCTTTCTTCTAGTTCATCATGAAACACACAATGAGGTTGTTGTGAGCCATGGTCACCGCTGTCCTCTGGACACCAGGGTCACCTCTGCCTCATTGGACTTCGGTTCTTATCACCTGATCTCCCCTGGCCTGGCTTCTGGGCCCCCTTGACCTCTGGTCCACTCTGTTTCTGTGTAGTCAGCTTTCTGCTTCTGCAGAGAGCAGCACTGTGTGTGTTTGTCTTTGTGCGTCTGGTCTGTCTCACTTGGCACAGTGTCCTTTGCTTCTGTCATGGCACTGTGAGAGGCTGTCCTTCTCTCTAGGCTGAGAAAGCCCCACTGAATGCAGACCCAAGAACATGGGTCTGATCACTGGTTTCTCTGTTAGCCAGATTTTTTTCACTCAGCAAACACCTGAGCTGACCCAGCTATGGAAGAAAAGGATTCTTTTGGCTTAGTTTGGGGTTTCCAGCTTGGGCCGGAGTGTCCCTCTGACTTCTGGGCCTGCATTGTGAGCACATCATGGCAGGAATGAGGCAGACAAAACCATCAGATCAGTGTTGGAGGCAAAAGAGCACAAAGCAGGCTGAGAACTGCTGTCCCCTGTGTGTGTGTGTGGGGACACCCTCCGAGGAGCCTGGAGACCTGGCACTGGGCCCCTCTTAGAGGTTCCACTACATCCCTACAGCATTTGGAGCAAGTCTTTCTGTCTTTTTTTTGCTTAAATTCTTTTATTGATACATTTTAGGTATAAAATATGTCTACATTTATCATTGGGTGCTTGCACCTGCACATGATGTATCTTGGTTCTTATTTTTTCCCCATTCCCTGCCCTCCTTTCCCTATTTACATAGATTTTGTTTCCATTTTTTCTTTTTCACATAATTTTTCCTTTCTCTTCTTTCTTTTCCCCTACACCTCCCACTTCCCCTACCCTTTTGAACCTTTTCCTCCTATTTCAAATTATCAATTATTCATTTTAATCATTTTAATCCTTATTTACACTTTCAGTTTCTCACACTAAAAAAATTATTTGATATTTACCATGTGTACCCTATTAATTTCACTTAAGAGTATGGCCTCAACATTTGACACAATCCAACACCCATTCATGATAAAAACGCTAGAGAAAAATTGGAATAGAAGGTCTTTATCTCAACCTGATTAAGGTTATTTATGAAAAACCAACAGCCACCATCATACTAAATGGTCAAAAACAAAAAACTTTCACGCTAAAATCAGGAACAAGACAAGGATGCACAATACCACCACTGCTGTTCAATATTGTTCTGGAAACATTAGCCACAGCAATTAGAAAAGAGAAAGAAATAAAAGGAATAAAGATAGGAAAGGAAGAAGTT